GCGCGGACATCTCTCCAGTTTGATTGGCCAGGTCATTGTCTACAGCAAAATCGTCGACGTCGTCCTCCGCAGAGCCGTCGCTGGTGAACTTTTCTTTGCTGCGCCGTGACGTGAAGCGAGAGAATGTTGCACTAATTCTGTTTTCGCTAGTTTGACTCCCGGCACGACTGGTAGGTTTACTTCTGGCTGATCTGGACTCGCGTCTGGAGTACGAAAAGGAATTTTTGTCTTCCAAGTCCCTTGGCAGGATCCGTGGCGACTTCGAAGAGACAGGGTGCACTTGGAGTTTATTGGTTGAATCGCCGTGATTCGAAAAGGCTACGCTTTGTTGCCTTCCATTCCCATCGGTCAATCCAATTGCAGGGTCCTCTGGCGTGGTAATTTCGACGCTTGGCCGGCCAGAAACATATCCCGACGTAAGTTCAAAATCAGTATTATCTGTCGACAATGTCTGGAGCTTCCGCACAATCCCCGCGGCATCAAGTTCACCAGCCTCTTCCGATGTATCGGAGGAAGGAGCTTTGGTGGCAAGATTTGCTTCTGCAGCATCCTCATTGATGGGCAGGATCTGATAGAATAGGAGATATGGAGACTCCAGTTTCAGCGCCTGCTCAATGTCGACGAGGGTAACGCGTTCCTCTGCCAGGTCATCGAAGCGCATCCAGTATTTAGGAGCGTCTAAGGCAGGCTCCGATCCGTGAGAGCTGGCAGGAGGTGCGCTAGCACTAGTGCCTCTGACGATAGCAATGTAATGCCCTGAATCAACTGAGTTACCCCGATGGCAAACCAACGCTTGCAAAGACAGCTTGAAGTTTCCATAAATGGGGCCGTCTGCGTCCATATTGTCATCTTGAATGAAGTGGGGAAGCCCAATTTCCGTGGGTATATCGACGTATGTGCTCAGTCTGGCAGCTTTCCCATTCGGAAGCATGGAATAACGTTTTAAGCACATTCCCAGTATTGGTCTCTTCGACGAAAAATGCGCCGCAACCTGGGCATCATTCGTTGGGGTGTTATCTGTGTACCAAGCTATGGGAGCTGGAGTCAGAATCCCTTCTTTTCTCACACGCTGGGGATCGAATGCACCTACGTATCAGACTGAAGAATTGCCACGCGGGCATCATAACTTCCTTCCTATAAGATCCTCTCCCGGAGTGACTCTTCGCGGTAGTGCCACCGTCAGCGTTTGCTCCATCTTCTGAGTCAGGTACGAATCGTTCTTGGACGATGCTGGTCCGCCGAATGTGGGCGCCTCGAGGCGTACTTGAGCCACTTACTTCTGACTGGGTTATTATCGGCGTTAATGGCGCTGAGTCCTCGGACCGCAGTGGAGACAACTGAGTTGGAGAAGTCGCAGGAGACGGGTTGACCTCAACAGTCTCGATATGTGATGTAAAGCCTTTGGACGTGGAATCGAAAGATCTGGTTGAGCCGACAGTATTGCGTCGCTCAAGGTGGCGTTTGACCTCAATCCTATTGTTGAAATACGATTCCAAACAGTCCTCCAGTGTCACTGTCTTCCCATCGACAGGCTCAGGAATCGCTACCTCCAGCAATCTCTCATTGACAAATTTGTGGTCGCTGCTCACATCCTCCTTTCCAGTGTGATAGATATCCATCTTCAGCGTGAGTAGAGGCAACTCTAACTTCTCTGTGATGAACGTAAAGGCCTCTGAAGTATCTTGCTGGCGAAGCTGAGCTGCATCTTCCCAACCACATTCAGCGAGTGCATCCTGCAAATGCTTGGTCTTTAAGCCCAATAATATCAGTACTTTTCAAATTAACAAAAGGCAACTGAGGTCAAAACATACAATGTCTGTTGTGATCAGTTTTCCGGAGCGCAGCATGTTGACCCAGAGTCTTAGCAATATTGAGAGCTTGCGACGAGGTTCGTCGTTGAACGACTTGTATAGGATCGCTTCGAAGCAATCTAGACGAGCAAACATCGCGAACAGCAATGCGTCTAGGTAGCAGGTAACACCCTGTCGGTTGACTGCTCCAAGAAGTTTCGTACTCGGAGTGTACGCTCTGATTATACCCTCAATCGAATCCTCCAAGATGAGGAGCAAATCAAAAGCTTTCTCTATGTCCCCCTGAGCAGACTGGAGCGCATACTCAAAATGCTCTTCCTTCAAGCCAGTATAGCCAAGTTGTGCGATGCGGCGCCCCAGTATCTTCAGCTATGGAAGTTGTGAATATCTCACACAGGGGATAGCCAGGGCAACTTCCTCCTTACCTTCTTCTGGTCTTCTTGGTCTGGCTCCGGCCTGCGATCGGATGCGAAAAATCCGAGGAAAAGAGGACGGGATAGTATCGTTGAGGCCTTAAAAGATAAGCGCATTAGCATTCATATATCCTATTGAAAGCTGCTCCCTCATACCGTACCTCATCTTTATTCTGCTTTGCATTCCTGCTATTTCGCTCGCGCCGGGTAAGAAATCGATGAATGCCACTCATATCTTAAGGCTTATGGCGAACGTCACTAAGCGCATTCGAAGGGAGGCAATAAGCGTCTTCAGGTGATAAGGAGACAGGTGCGTTGTCCAAAGTACCGAGTAGGATGCGACATGAGGAAGACTCTGGGTATGTATAGTAACAACAAATGTGAGCTCAGGCTCCAATATTCTTGTCAAGCACAAGAATGATTTCTTTGGTTGAGTCAGTGAGCATATCAGGTGCTCAGCTCTTCTGACAAGACTTCTGTGGCACTAGAAGCAGTAATGTTGATTGTTCATGGGTCACACAGAGGATAAAATCGAGATGATCTAGAAATGACATAAGATAAATCGTGAGATGCTAAATATGCAACAAGGAACAAGCCATGAGAATGATTCCGGAACAGAAGTAGTGGAGACCTCTAGAAAATGTATATCTAGCTTGCTATCTTTTTGGCGGGGTGATGAAGCTGATCACATGTGGAGCCTCTTGTTATGCGGAGTGAACTTTGTTGCCTTGCATGGCTGCCAGATCGCCCAGGCTCAAATTTCTCTGCCCCCTGCACGTGACCGTCTGAGATTCCAAGCCGAAAGTAATTTTTGGAAATCCGATATTGATCGGCTGAATCAACAACACCGTCTTCGAACCCCAATGGCTGCCAGCGAGTCGTCCAGGTTCCTGGCAAGGTCATTGCCAAGGGCTTTTGCACCATCATCTCGCCTTCAGAGCGTTTGTTGGCGACGCAATGCCTCAGATCAGGCATCGTCTAAGTCCCCAATTAGTGACCTCGAGTCGTCAAGCTCTTTAAGTGCCAGCGTACCGGAAGACATTGTGAAGTCATTTGATCCGGTAGGGAGGTCAAGGGCGCGCAAAACACAGTTGCCTCGGAGTCGGTAAGCATTATGTCCTATTTCATTGCCAGTTCAAGCTGCGTTCGCTTCTAGAGGTCATTCATACTAAACCCAGAATGTAGTTATCAGTTCCGTTCACCCAAATACGACCGTGGCCCTCTACACCCTCACAGACCTCCTCCACCATCAGATCCCTCTTCTCGACTCTTTGTTCCTGGACCCTTTTCACTTCCCAGAGTAACACAGACATGGGAGTCGACCATCGCTCCAGACATTCTCACCCTCTGCTACGTTCACACCCCTCCCGGGTTCAACCCCCCACCGAAAGGTTCTCGTCTCTGTGAGTGGGACGACAGCTCTCCTTACCACAAGAACCGACCGCTACGTGGACCTCGTGGCGGCGACGTCCTACGACTGCTCCGCAAACCCGTCACTTTCAACAACATTCCCCAGCTTGAGCGCATCACCATTCACAGCTACATCAAGCAAGCTGCTACGGAGAACTCGTCCTGGCTTCATGTCGCTGGTATGGCCGTTCAGGCTATTTCCAATGTCCGCGTTCAGACATTTAAATCAAAGGCCAGTGTTGCTACTTGGGGTATTGCGCCTGGCAGAGACACCGTCGCGGTGAAGGCAGAACTGCGCGGTGAGGATATGCTCCACTTCTTCGGAAAGTTAGTCGATGTTGTTCTGCCTAGAATCAAGGACTGGGAAGGTGTCAAGGGTACCAGCGGTGATAGCAGCGGAAACATCACGTTCGGTCTTGAGCCCGAGAACGTGGCTCTTTTCCCTGAAATCGAGGTCAACTACGACATGTAAGTCGAAATGTGGCCTTTCACACAACTTACATGTAGCTCTCAGGCTAACATACTTTTCCGGATAGGTACCCACCAAAGATGATCCCCGGTGCTCACATCACGATCCATACAACTGCCAGAACCGACAAGGACGCCCGTCTTCTTCTCAGCGCCATGGGTATTCCCTTCTATGGAAAGCTGGTCGATTAGACGTCGAGTTTTATCCACCTGCTTATATGTGTTTCGTCACCTGGGACAAACATGCCAGACTTGAAGAACAAGGTGGCTTCTGAGCGATATGCTAGCTCATGTTGTATTTTATGTTGACTGGCAATCAAGTTGTATTATTATAGAAATCATGTGATAAATCTACATTTTCCTAGCGAGCTGAAAAAATATACTGCTATGCATGAACATTATTCTTCGCACTGTCGCGCCATGTCCCAACCCTTTATATACGAGCGACTGCCTCCTTCTCGTCGAGAACATAAATTCCGTGATTAGACGCGAAAGACCTCTCAAGCTTCTTGTCATCTAGTGCCCGAGGCAACATGAAAGCATAGATATTAGATGTCATATTTTGATCCTATTCAAGAACTGCGATGCCCGCTTATGTATGGCACACGAAAAGCAACAAATGCAATCAATGACATATCAGAGTCCTACCGGATATTAAAACGCCTTTGAGGTGATAGGCTTGCATGTAGGAAGTGGTGAGAGGAAAGCGAACAATAAAACGAGAAGGCTCTGGGGTATTCAAGTTCATAAAAGGGAAGATGCAGAGTTCGATATGCCTTCGGAATGAAGAGGAAATTGGCGGAAACGCCTAGAATTTGTGGTAGACAGCATGAGCAGCGCGCTATTATCCAAGGAGCGGCGATGGGCTATTGAATCATGTCTGAAATTGGGGTGCATCTCACGCCAGCGGTGCAGACAAGAACTGGCTCTGCAGTAACTCGTCCGCGGTGGGTCTTTTCTCATAATCGACTTGGAAGGTCATGTCCAAGAAGGCCATGGCTTCTTTGCTCGCGTGTTCGGGAGCCGGGGGTCTCGCACTGTTGCTACCAATGGCGAAAATAGCTTGCAACTGACTGCAATCAGGGAAAGGATGGGCCCCAATAAACATCTCCACGACAAGGCAGCCCAAGCTCCAGATATCCGCCTTTTTTGTGTGGGCTGTCTGTCGCACGACTTCCGGTGCCATCCAGTACACGCTTCCCTGCAGAGAAGGTCGATGGAGATGACCACCTCCGCTCCCGCTGGCTCGGGCACCGAGAACAGTGGAGGCTTCAACACGTTTGGAAATACCAAAGTCGGAAATTTTGATACCGCCCTTGTTATCCACCAGAATGTTGGCGCCCTTGATATCACGGTGGATAATGTCTCGACTATGGAGGTAGGAAAGGCCTTCCAGAATTTGACGTACGAAATTCTTGATCAGCGGCTCTTGGAAGGTGTTGTATTGTTTGAGCATCGTGGCGATTGAACCGCCTGGGACGTATTCCAGGAAAATATTCAGGTATTGATCGTCCGCAGAGGTGCCTAAATACTGGACGATATTCGGATGGTGAAGGCCTTGCAACAGCTCAATCTCATGTTTAAGTGCTGTCACCATGCTGTTCTTCCGCTTGTCAAACTCAGTACCCTTGGTCGCCGAAGGTATTTCCACTTGTTTGACAGCCATGAGCTCGCCAGTGATCGCATGAAGAGCAAGGAAGACACTACCAAACGATCCCTCGCCAATCAAAGATCCCTTCATCCAGTTCTTGGGTGCAAAATTATTCCCTGAAAGGAACTCGTTAAGGCCATCGTCCTCCTCTTCCCCATCTTCAGCCACCAAGACACTCAACCTCTCATTGAAAGATCCGCCGTCTGTCGCTGCAACGCTCGCGTTCTCATCAAGAAGGCTTTGGCGAGAGTTACTCGGATCATCCGATCCACTATCGAAGGAAACATATGATTTGCGATTCGGCTCAATGGGAGACTCCTCCTGAAGAGGCTGAAGAGAGCTTGAGGCAATGGAATCTCTATATGATGTTTGCGGAAGATTGAATCTGGAAACCGAGAGCGGCCTCGAGGCTCGTGTAGGTTGCGCCCCAGGATTGAGCCAGGTGTCAGCGATGCTCGGAATCGGGGGCGCATCCCTCAAGCTCGATGCATAGCTTGTATTGCTGAGGACGCTCAGGCGACTTGCTGCTCGGCTGAGGCGTTGAGATCTCCGAATCGACATGCGCATGGTCTTTTCAATATCCTCACGCTGATGACCGGGGAAATATGAAGTAAGTTCATGAATAATCATCTCACTAGGTGGGCGAGCCCCGAAGAACGATCGCAACTTGGCCACAGAGGGGCGTTCGGTGTTCAATTGGAGAGATGGGTCATGCTCAGTATGACCCTGAGGGTGCCGGGCAGACACAGGCGACAACGGTTGTTTGATATGATGCCATGGTTCACCTGTGAGTTGTTGTATTTTAATCTGATTGCGCACATTTGAACTGCTCAGAGCATTCATGTGTGTCATTTGGCTTTCATCCAGCGCAAGCTGAGAAGCACGACGGAGCTCATCAGTATCTGGTTCTCCAGCGTGAATTTTCCGCAGAATGAGACGTCCGCGCTCGGACCTGCTTGACCCTTCGCAAATCTCCATGAGTTCGTGATCCGGAAGTCGCCTACAGTTTGAGGGATCCGGTTCCAAGCCGTCGAGCACGTAGAAGCAATAGTTGCGATACTGGTGCTCGGGTAGCTGCAGCTTCTTGAGGACACACAGTATAATCTCGTCAGCGGTCTTGCAATGCTTGATATCCAACACCTTGGTCTGTCCACCAGTGTATATGACCCTGATAACAGGCGAATTTGCGGGCAAAGCACCCATTGTCAGACCATCAATGCTAGGGTTTTGCCTCAGATGTAAGCCACCTTTGTGACCATGGCCGCCGTCGCTAGGTGTTCCTGGATTTCGGCCAGAATTCGAGCCGCCGGAGGAGGGATGAGCAAAATAACCCTCTTTCCGACTACTTTCCATCGGGCTGTTCGCAGCATACCGCTGATTTCTCAATGGAGACCCTGGGCGTGATGATGATTTTCCCGTAGAGTAGACATGTGAACCATTGTCGACTAAGCGAGACATACGGCGATTGCTCGAACTTCGTTGGCGGAGGTTGGTAAGTCGAGAGGAGTCTGAAGTTGGAGCGTGCGTAGGGGCCTCGAGTGCAGCGAGTTGATTCTTCACCAGGGTAAGCCGAGGTTCCAACTGTGACAGCACCTCACTCACCATGTTTGTTTGTCTAAGATTGTTGACACTCCTGTTTCTGAGCTTTTTGATGGCTACAAAAATTCGCACTCGATCGCCGACCTTCTTGATACCCATTTCCTGAAGAATTTTCTGGTCACATTCAATAAGATTGTCTCCGTTGAAATTGTTTGCTGGATACCGTCAGTGACTCCGTCATATTAGATTCCGGTACCATGCCGCTACTCAATGTATACCTCTGAATAAAGACTCATACTGGCCGCAATTTATGCTGTGCAACCAGTTGATCACTTGTTTCTCATCCCACGACCTGGAAAAGTTGCAATCAGCCGTCCGCGGAGACCTCCAAGACAGATTAGGTGGCGCTGATAACCCACCGAACGGCATCAGGACCATCCTTCAAGGAGAACTCCGACTCTGTTGGGCTTGTAAACAGCATCCCGTCCTGCGAAGTCGTCCCCGTTGTCGACTTGTGCGATGGTCCGACGTGATATGTTGGTGCCGTGGCCTGGGATCCTGTCATGCCCAAAGGCGCCGAATATTGAATCTTCGACGCCAACATAGCTGGCATATCTTGCGGACGCTGTTTTATAATGACCGTACCGTAACTGTGTCGAGCTTTGGCGCAATCTTATGCCCTATGGATACACTCGGATTCAATGGCATAACATAGTACCGGCGTTTTCCCGAGAGCTATATGGCCGACTGACTGTGCGACTTTGACAGCTGTTTTGACTTCAACCGGCGCGAGGTCCAGAGTTCTCTATTCACGACGCTGATCAGTCAATCTGTCTATAGGATCATTTTTTGTTCGTTCCAGTAGAAACAAAGCCCACTTGGCAGGAAGAGCGACGAGTAGCCAGCAAAGAAGAAAGGTTAAGATCCAGAGTAACAAGGAGTGAAGTTATCACTAGCCTGCTTACAGTGAAAGTAATGACTGTGTGTACACAACTCCTCCGTGAATACCTGATTCTTTCGCTCTGACCTTGACGCTTTGGATAAGCAAAGGCTAAGGCAATTCACGATCCGGCTTTAACTGCTTCACTATAGCAGTCTCAGAAGCTGAGAGACGCGGGGAAGGGAGAGAGGACGCCAGCAGTAGGAGTACAAGGACATCAAACACTCAGATATTATCTTCTTTGGCTCCTCAGCAAGGGATAATTGAATGAACGATAAGCATGCAAAGAAGTAATAATAGTTTGATGCTGAGTGATCACCCCTCCTGCGACACTGACAACAAGGCCCGATCGGTCGGCGACAATACCTCCGACACACAATGGAAGTATCTAATCATTTTCTCAAACACGCCGCGCCGCTGAGATTTGTCAGGGGCAAGACAGTCTGAAACAATAGAGCCCCTCCGTTCCATTAAATACATCCCCTTTCCCAATACTTATCACCATAATTGCCTTCATTGATTCAATTCCAGTGAGCTATTCTTAGCTTGCGGAATCAGTGTTGGTGGGTTCAAACTTCAACACTAGGTAATTTTGACATTGGATCGTCATATTCATCAAGCGCCCATCGCTCCCATTTGGTAGGTTAGGATGGATCTTAAGTTCGTCGGAGCCATCTACACAGAATTCCCTGTCATGTCCCTCGGTCTAGATATCCCCTGGAAAGACTGGGATCCTGATAAAAGCAGCGGACTATGCTCCTCCATATTCAAACTTTTCCCAGACTGAGACAGACTGAATACTATCTGCATTACAATCTTTCGGAATGACGGACAACACATCCAATACTGTGTTCATTCATAGGTAGTTCGGATTCCGTATTCCAACACGATGGAGTTTACTTTGTTGGGCCCACATGCATTTTCATACGAGCTGTCTATGGACAAACGAGAGTTCAAGAACATCAGGATCAGGCCGACACAGTCTCGCCTGCGAGCATTCAGCAGTCCTATACTGTATCCGCGCGTTCTCCAGATCGTAGGAGAAAGCTATGAGATCTTCTCCTTTTATTCATGGCCCCCTTCTCCTCGAAATAAAGCTCTCATCTAGTGGCTGAGAGGTCCAGCTTGGGCGAACTGTCTTGACCCGTATGTCCAGGCACATTAAGAGCTCTCCATGGGTTCCGCCGTCGCCTTGGGATTCAATATGCATCCCTGACTCAGATTCGCTGCTGATTTGAACCTCCCATGCCGGCTTTACCGAGACTTGAAGCTCAAATCACACGGTGCTCGTTCAATTTGTATCTCTGCCTCGCCCTGAGGCCGTGTCTCTCCATATCAGCTGGAAGCTAAGCACCTCAGCTCTTCCGCGTGCAGGCCTGAGAACGATTGAAATCACGACTCAATGGCCTGGCATTCCCTCAAATCTGTTCAAGCTGACGTGTAGAACATCGGGGGGCGCGTTCCTACCACACCTTGGCTATCCCTTGAGTAGCTGTATTCATGTACGTAAACTCCCACATGGACCTAACGGTTCTCTTTGGAGAAAAGATGAGTGACTGGTTTTGCAAACCAGAAGTAATGATGATTGTAGTATGATCTAACTTACAAGCAGAAGGATTGGTGTGCTTTGCCCCAGCATATTTCTCTTCCTCCCGAGTAGCGAATGTTCGGAAGTCATGGCCAAGTAATGGTTGTCTTACGGATTGAGAAGGGACCATTTATAAATTTATTTCACTCACTCATTGTCCTCTGCATCGTACACACCTTTTCTGACGGAGAATATCGAAGTGCTGTAGGTATTGTTGGTGTTGGGTGCTGTGCACTACAAAATATATAATTTGTCTTTTTTCCCGACCTGATATGGATCGATACTTTCCAGTGTTCTCTGGGCCTTTTGATAACGCGAATCCATAGATTACAGCCGAGGGCCACATGGTGCAGTAGTATAGGTATTCAGTTTTTGAAATAAAGAGGAAGAAGCCCATGTGGGCTTCGTCATCACCATCCAGTAGCTGAAGTAGCAACCAATGGGCCATAATGCCATCCATCACATTCTCCATGTATACCACGGTACAAGGTAGGTTCTTGCTGTAGTGACCATTTGGCCCTTTCCCCATCTCTTCCGTTCACACTAGACACCCGAATATCTAGAAAGTCTCATCGAGAGTTATATGAAGAAAGAAAGGTTAGATATTGAAACGGCAGGAGCGGCAGGAGAAGCTGGCACTCTCATAAACCATTTTATCTCCGCACCAGTGGGGATGGCGGAGTGCAAATATGCAAAGGATGGAGTATCTACCGTATCAGTTGCATGTCAGGGACGGAGAACTTTACAATTTGTTGAACGAACATGAGTTACATTCTTCTTTCAGAGCGTTAGATAAATATATATGCCATCAATGACATCGAATGTCTACCTATGCGACATTCGAGCAATATCATTATTATCAGCGTGGCTGTATGCTGCTCTGGAAAGAAATCCCTTCAGTGCGGATGGACCATGGCTTCACGTGACCGACTGTCCTTAGGTTCTTTACAGCTAGTAACCCCCCTCATGCCTCGACCCCACAGTTTTTCTTCCCCGCTCGTCTGTTGCTCATCTGTGAGGATATGCTCCAATTCCAAGGCAATTCGCCATGGAGGAAGAGAGAACTGTTCAAGGTAAAGTGAAGAAGAAAAATGCCACGCCACATCGAAAGTCTTTGTCCTGCGAATATTGCAGCAGGTCCTTCGCTCGCTTGGAGCACCTCCAACGACATCTCCGCACTCGTTGAGTAACCCTGGAATTGGCCCTGTGGGTGCGCTGAGGAATAACGGAAATGCTAATCCATTATCGTAGACACGAAGGAAAAACCGTTCTCATGTGACATATGCTCCAAATCATTTGCAAGGAGGTAGGCTGTTATCTTACGTTGCATAGGTCTCGACTGGCACTAACAATATGAGGGAAAACTCTGTAGCGACCTACTTGTACGACATGAGCGCTTAGTCCATCCCGCCGAGGCTGCGGCCGGTCGAGAACATCGAAACCACAGTAACCATGAGGTGCCTTCGACGCCGTCCTCTATGATACAGACGGCCCATCATGAGTCGCGAATGCTCGAGCTTGCAGATGCAATACCAGTCCAGCCACAGCCCATCCCGCCGCCTCCGCCTGAGGTCCATGTCCAGCCGGCACCGATAATAGAGACAACGCATTTCAACCCCTCATGGGGATACGATCTGAATCTCCTGTCTCATGCTGCCAGCCATGTAGCTCTTGAAGGCCAACAGGAAGCTCTTGAGTCGATGCGAAAACCTTCACATACCGTCGGCCCTCCTCAGCCAATCCCTCATGTCACGGACAGGCGAATCACCGAAAATTACGGGCTTGAACCGTCGATTCTTGATCTCACTGACTTAGGTGATCCGGTCCAAGACTTCACTGTCTTTTTAGAAAGCGTTGGTCTCTCATCCGACTGGGACTCGGGAGTGTTTTCCACTGTCGAGGAACCCATGCTGCCAACTACTCTCTCGATTGACTCTAAGCCATCTCTTCGTGAAACGTCCAGACTAGGGACAGAAATCATGAATGACCCGCGCTCGGCCGACGATCCTCCATCGTTCTCAAATTTTGGATCTCGTTTACCTTCACTGCAACCCGAATCCCACGAAGTGGATGATCGACTAGGTTTCGGCGACGATGGTCCACGTCCGGCATGGGATATCTCAAACGCTGACCGCCAGATCTTCGTTTCCAAACTTGAGGAGTTTGCTTATATTCTCCCGAAGGGCTTTGTACCTCCATCAAGACACGCTCTGTCTCGCTTCTTTGCTGGCTATATCAACGGACTGAATGAGCATCTTCCTTTTATTCATGTCCCCACACTTTCGGTTGCCAAATGCTCTCCTGAGCTGACACTCGCACTAGCGGCAGCAGGGTCGCATTATCGATTCGAAAACAATCGAGGAATTGACCTATTTCACGCAGCAAAGACAATACTGCTCGAGCGCCTCCGAAGAAGAGACAGCAAGCAAGTGCCATGCCCGACATGGAATTTTTATTCTCCCAGTTCCGGATTCCACAACTCGCGCGGCTCGTCGGCCATGTCAAATCATGCTAGTAGCCCTTTCCAGCAACAGCAGCAGTCTATGCCGCATCCTGTCGATCCCTCAATTTACGTATCAGATGATTCGGATGCTCATATGGAAGTGATTCGTACTTTCTTGCTGCTCACGGTTTTTGCATCTTGGGAAAGACACCCCGAACTCCTTCGGGAAATTTTATCGTTGCAAAGTACGTTGGCAAGGCTCGTTCGAGAGCATGGACTCGCCGAACCAGCGACCAGTCCTGACCCAAATAGCTGGGAGGAGTGGATACGCAGAGAGGGCAACAGACGCACAAAGCTCATCGTCTACTGCTTTTTCAATCTACACTCCATAATGTACAACATCCCCCCTCTGATCCTGAACGCGGAGTTGAAATTGAACATGCCATGCTCTCACGACGTCTGGAAAGCGAGCAATGCGTCTCAGTGGAGACGGCTCAGTCGCACCCGGCCCGGGGTGGATGTTCCCTTCCAGGAGGCATTCGCCAAACTGTTCTTAAAGTCGAGCATCTCGAACTCTTCGGCACCAATCTCGCCACTCGGAAACTATATCCTTATACACGCTATTATCCAGCA